GGGAGCTAAGTAAAGAATCAAGCTAAGAAGAAAGTAGGAAGGAGTTGTAAGAAACACTAATCCTTTTTTCCCCTTGTTCAGGGATACCCAAAGCTTCTTGAGTTATTTGTTGTTGTTGTTAATTGCCATGACTCCAACTCATGGCGACCTTGTGTATAACAAAACAAAACGTCACACAGCCCTGTGCCATCTTCATGATCTTTGGTATGATGGAGTCCATCACAGAGAGTTCAATGTGAGGGTTACTACCTCCTCCCTGGTCAGCAGGAAGTTGTTGGGTAATTACCTTTCCCCTCTTTGGACGCCACCAGCCCTGGGCACAAGGAGTCATATACCTTGGTATTCCCCCACTTTTGATAGTGTGGCCAACTCTGTCTGTAGAGTGAGTCTAATTTTACATGGGGATTAGGTTCTAGTGTGTGCAAAACAGGGCTGAAAGTAAATTCACTGAGTCCAAGTTATCCTGGAAAATCTTAGATTTCCTTTAAAGTACTGTATATGTTATTTTTGAGTATTCGATTTGGTGTATGTGTGTAGACACATATGTAATAGGTACAAGAATTATAGGAAATATAATAAAGATAATTTTTTGCAGTATTTTTCATTATGAGAAATATAAAAGAATGAAATTTTTTCATGAGTTTGTAGAATTGAATTTTGGATGAATTAACTATTTCCTTTTGATAGAGAGCAACTTTGTCTTCTGCTAGTCCTCTTACTCCTGTCCCAGAAATTATTAATAGCTCAAGGCAGAGAACATTTACGAGCGTCCCTTCTCCTACAGATTTAGTAAGTTATAGGAGAGAAATTCTGCAGGTGAGCGCATGTATTGTTTTGTAATGACTGTAATAACAGACTGTTAAAACAGTGATGACAGAATGAAGCCGGGCTCTGGGGCTCTGAAGTCAATCTGAAATTAGTGTCTCTGGGGACTATTAGGCATCTCTTCTTCAAGTTCAATGAAAGACATTGCCCACAAGTAACGATGTGGTATACATCAAGTGTGGAGAATTCAACTTCTTTTAATATTTTTAAAATGTTTAACCCTTTGGTGACCCAATTATTTTCTCCTTTGAATTTTTTGTTGAGACCATGTGTTTTTCGCTAATGGAAGGCATGCTGATTAAAGGACCAATTCAAAATTTTTGTTATGAGTTATGGATTTTGATACCCATTATCTGGGATCACATACGTCACCACAAACACCAGGATGTAGTAAATCCTACCAATATGAGTCAATGAAATATGTGGCAAGAATAACTTATAGGAGATTGAGTCTCTTGAAAAGCACCACTGCAATGCATTATTACTTATTGGAAAGGCATTATTTACTATTCAGAAACTAGAAAAGAAGGGAGCCAGTAACACCTGGAAACAATGAATGGCATAAAAGAGAAAATGGCCACTATGACTGAATGAAGACTGGCAACAGCTTATTCTTGTGATAAGTACATTCTCATAAGAACATAGTAACTGAGAAACATAGTGAGGAGGCTTATCTCACAGAAATAAAGGCAAATCTGTAAAACGTTTAGAAAATTCACACATCCAGGAGGCATCACCTAAGAGTATGCCTAATCTACACAAAAATGAAGCTCCTACTCAGAATTTTTTAGTTTCACGCATTTCAAAAGTCTCCCACTTGAGGCTAAACACGTTAAAATCGGGTTACCTTCTTCCTAAAGAACTCTAGAGGCATAAAAAGTGGTTGGGATACGGTATGCCCCATGAGTCCCCAAAGGGTTAACACTGTTTAACTGGCTTTCTTAAAATATAGTATGGTGGCAAAGTAACAATTCTGGTTGATGATGGTCCTGTTAATTTGGGAAGAGCATTTTTGTTTTCTAGGAGAGTTTACATGTAACAATGAGGGAGAACTGCAGGACCCTCCTATCAATACTGGAAGGGAATAGGACAGACATAGCCATATTGCTGTCATAGTCTTCTGTGGCTATTCATTCCGCAAGTACCTATTTCACTTCACTTCTCACTTTCCTTTAAGCTTTGTCTTTGTACCTAATTCTCTCTTGGTTGCTAACATCAAAAGAACCCTTACATGGGGATGTCATTTGATCTAGAAGTCACTGCCAGGCATGCTCTAGAATTTACTCATTACTCATCAATATCTATCACCCCATCCCTCTATCCCCTTATCATGCTGTACTTCACCTCTTAAAACTTACCGCAACTACCTGATTTTTTAAAAATAACATCTTTATTAAATTTTAATTCACTCTTTTAAAGCGTATAATTCAATGTTTTTTAGTATATTTACAGAGTCATGCAAATATCACCATGAATCAGTTTTAGAACATTTTCATCACCTCAAAAGGAAACCCTGTACCCATTAGCAGTCACGCTCAATTTTTCCCCAACTCCCCCAGCCCTAGGCAACCACCAATCCCCTTCCTCCTTTCTGTCTCTACGGATTTTCCTATTCTGGACATTTCAGCTAAGTAGAATCATACAATAGATGGTCTTTTGTGACTGGCTTCTTTCACTTAGTATAATGTTTTCAATACCAAAATGATGTTTACCTGTGTTTTATTGACTATGCAACGGCATTCAGCTCTGTGGATCATGACAAATTATGGACAACATTGAGAAGAATGAGAATCCCAGAACACTTTATTGTGTTCATGTGGAACCTGTACATAGACCAAGAGGCAGTCGTTTGGACAGAACAAGAGGATACTGAGTGGTTTAAAGTCAGGAAAGGTGTGCATCAGGGTTGTATCCTTTCACTATACTTATTCAGTCTGTATGCTGAGGAAATAATACAAGAAGCTGGACTGTATGAAGAAGAATTGTGCATCAGGATTGGAGGAAGACTCATTAACAACCTGCAATATGCAGATGATACAACCTTGCTTGCTGAAAGTGAAGAGGACTTGAAGCACTTACTGATGAAGATCAAAGACTACAGCCTTCAGTATGGATTACACCTTAACGAAAAGAAAACGAAAGTCCTCACAACTAGACCAACAGGCAACATCATGATCAGCGGAGATAAGACTGAAATTGTCAAGGGTTTCATTTTACTTTGGTCCACACTCAACACCCATGAAAGTAGCAGTCAAGAAATCAAAAGACTAATTGTATTGGGCAAATCTGCTGCAAAAGACCTCTTTAAAGTGTTGAAAAGCAAAGACGTCACTTTGAGGACCACGGTGAACCTGACCCAAGCCATGGTATTTCCAATTACCTGATATGCATGCGAAAGCTGGACAATGAGAAAGGAAAACCAAAGAATAATTGATGCCTTTGAATTATAGTGTTGGCAAAGAATATTGACTATACCTTGGAGTGCCAGAAGAACAAACAAGTCTGTCTTGGAAGAAGTACAGCTGGGATGCTCCTTGGAAGTATGAATGGCGAGACTTCATCTCACATATATGTTATTAGGAGGGACCAGTCCCTGGAGAAAGACATTATGCTTGGTAAAGTAGAAGGTCTGCGAAAAAGAGGAATACCCTCAATGAGATGGATTGATTCAGTGGCTGCAACAATGGGCTTAAGCATAACAACGATTGTGAGGATGGCACAGGACCAGGCAGTGTTTCATTCTGTTGTACATAGGGTCACTACGAGTCAGAACCGAACGGACGGCACCTAACAACAACAATAACAATGTTTTCAAAGTTCACTCATGTAGAATGTATCAGTACTATGTTCCTTTTTATTGCCAAATAGTATCCGATTATATGGATGTACCAGGTTTTATCTACCCATCCGCCCACCTGGGGACATTTTGCTACATGATTTAATTGCTTATGTTCTATCTCCTGCATGAAAACGAAGCTCCATGAGGGTAGGAACTCTTCTGTTGTTGTTTACCACTCTGTCCCTAGCATCTAGTACAGAGTTTGGCTTGTAGTAGAAACTCATAAATTTGTCAGCTGAGCGATTCAATCATTCATCCGACCAACATTTGTTAAATACCACATTTGTGTTCAACACTCATTCTTTTCCAAGCTAGGCCGCTGGGAATGGGAGATAAATATGACAAAAGATCTGTCCTCAAGAATCTCATAATCTAGTGGGGTAATATCTGTGGAAACAAATAGTTAAATAAAATTAAGAAAACTGATTTTTAAAAAGGAAGCGGACAAAGTGCAGTGCATAGACAAAGGGTTTAATTTTGCTTGAGGGAGTCAGCGAAGACTTCGCAGCAAAGACTTCAGTTGAGGCTTTTAAAAATAGGAGTTTGTCAGATTGACAGAGAGGGAGCTGGAGTGGTGGTACTTCAACCAGAAGGAGCAGCTGAAGCAAAGTCTTAGAGCCTGCCCTACAGGATGAACATGGAAAAGTAGCAATGCTGGAGCTTTCGTGTAGAGGTGGTGAAGGAACCCACAGAGGATTAAATCATCTAGCAAGCCATGTTCAAATCAAAAAGAATCTTATATACTAAATCAAAGAATTAAAATTTTTTCCCAGGTATGTAAGAAATTGGCAAAAAATTGTTGCATCTAAGGATATACTGGGGGACTAGAGGCAGGGGTGGGAGAAACAGCTGGCAAACTTTAAAAAATCAGGTACATATTCTAGGTTATTCAAAGCTTCCATTAAAGAAAATTCTTTAGACAATGGGAACCCACTGTACACTTTTGAGCAGGCTGTGCCAGGATTGTATGAGCGGGCAGGAAAGCTACTTTGGACGTAGTGAGAAGTGAGGTGGGCAGGAGTCTAGAGGCAGGAGCCAGACCAGGACGGACGTGCAATTGAATTTGATCCGTGATCTGTTTTCTTTCCTCCTCCTTCTTGACGTCCCCAACTAAAAGATACATGGTATTCCTACACTCGGCGACCCACTCACAGACACTAATTCAAGGGTAATGTGGTAACTTGCTTGAAACACTGGCACCCCCAGGAGTGAGTGGTGGGCGAGGCTCCGGGCTGGGCTGTGGTCTGAGTCTTGGTGCCGGGAGAGGCTCTACCCTCTGGGGGCAGCCTAGGGGAAACACAGCTGTAGTCTCTTCCTGCTGATGCAATCTGCCGGAGAACTCGAGGTCTCGGCTGCAAGAAGGCCCGTCCGCAATCCCTGCCGCCACGTGTGGCAGCCACCGCCCCAGCCACTTCCCAGACGGTCCCTGCAGCCGCGACCGCGCTCGCCAGCCGCTGACTGGGGCCACTCGGCAGGGGCTGAGACGGATTGGATTTGTCCTGCGGCTCAGCCGCAGCTGTGCTCACGGCCAAGAGAACAATGAAGGTAACTACTTATGATTTTGTCTGTATTTTACAAAAATGAGTGTATGGATTCAACAGACGATTCCTCAGAGAAAGAAGAAACAATTGGCAGAAAGGGGACAGAGGAGGACCACCACAGGTCGTCTCCAAACAAACTTCTTTAATATCATGTTTACCAATCATAGTTTGTCAGAACCTTCCATTCTTTTCGGATTTCTGATGTGCCTCCTCAAGCTTTTTCTCAGCTGCGTTTGAAGGTGGGGATAAAAGGCTGTTCACAGTTCCCGCATCTTTTGTTTTGAAGTTTGGAAAGGAAGAGGCAGCTTTTCTCAATTTCTGAGATGCACAGTGTGTGGGGGATTTTGGAGAGGAAGTCTCAGAGTAGGTGGAGGTGTACCTGACGGTGAATGGGGGTTTCCTGCAGGATGTCTGTAGTGAAGGAGGGAGGTGCAGGATTAGTTAGTTGACTAAAGTGGGGTTATATTGTATGTTTCTTGTGGAAATGAAACCTTCTAGGAGTTAGGAATCATATAAGCCTAAAGGCATTCTTTTATTAAACTGTGAGAGCACCCTAATGACTTATTCTTATGCAAATCGAGAATAATTAGCCTAGCTGCCTGTAAATTCTGAAGTTGAGGGTGTAGAGATGTACACTGCTGAGTGTTTTGTTTTCCTGATCTCACACCTTGGAAAACCACAATGATGTTAACACCTGAAGAACAGCTTCTTCAGAGGAAAGTGAAGGATGGGCAAGTAGCCCTGCCATCTACCATCTTGGAATTAAGAGATTCCTATAATGCCATCTGATCTCCTGGGAGAGACAAAGCCATGATTCAGAGCTTCAAATGAAGGGCGTGAAGTATGATTCTCAACTGTGTTTATCCACCACCCATCACACACCACGATTTCATTTAGAGCAAATGATACGTAAATGGAAAAGCTTTCTTCACAAAACAAAATTTTCCACTGTGACTGATCTGTGACTGAGCGGAAGCACTGCGTTTTGTATTAAGAAATGCAAATGCACCACAGTGAAAAATTGAGCAATCTCCTTCTTATACAGCTAGATATTCTATTTCTGACTTGCTCATGCCTGTAATTTCAGCAGAAAAATATACTTTGAGTTTTCTTTAGTGAGTAAAAGGAGACAATTATGAAAATAAACAGTCTTTTCCAGCTCTTCCCTGTTCCATGTGGAGTTGTGGTTGATGATGCATTTTTGTAAGTCAGGGGGTTCTTACCATGAGTCCAAAAACCCCTGTCTCTTTTATAAGGTACTTTTATAATGCAGGAAACTCCATTTCTGCTCTTTGACTTCAGAGATTCCTATAAGGCAATTTGATCTCTTGGGAGATATTTTTCCAAAATTCACCACTGCAGTTGAGTCCATTCTGCCTCATAGCGACCCTACAGACAGAATAGAACTGCTCCGTAGGGTTTCCAAGGAGCAGCTTGTGGATTCGAACTGCCAACCTTTTGATTAGCAGCCGAACTCTTAACCACTGCACCAGCAAGATTAGGATGATTATATTCTAGGCACGATCAAGGACTGAGTGAGATTCCTTTGTTTTTATTCTTTAAAAACCTTTCTACCTACATTTTACATATGTATTGCTATCATCTTTATAAAAAAGCAAAACAAAACAGAAAAAAAGGACTTTCTGTGTATGGCACCATGATAGGCTTTGTCTTCAGCAAATTCTCTTCTAGGAGCTTGTATTTTAATATGAAAGCATATAGAATGGGCAATTGATTTAAAAAAAATCATATACAATGAATAGCATGTGTATAAAAATGGTGAGTACATATTATGGTTTGGTGACTTGAGGTGGAGATTTAAAAGAGGCACATGTGTGAATGGGATAGATACAAGCAGAGTCATTGTCAATGACATATGGCTAAGTGATAAAAAGAGAAGATTTGAGTACAGTGTGTGGAATGTGAAGGGGAGAAGACAAGAGGCTTGGGTGCCAGAGGGGTTGACATTTCAGACACAGAACACGGCTCTCCAGCAAGGCTTATAGATGCAAAGCTAGTTAAGCAGGCCTAACATAAGAACATCTTTGGAGACTTCGGTGATGAGAAAAAAGGAGAGAAAGAGGAAAAAAAAAGGACAAAAAAATTAATTGTGGCCAGTATTTCATCTAGTGAGTTTCAATACTGAGTAACTCCATTTGATTTTAGAACTACACAGAGTAACGACAGTTAAGAACATATGCCATTTGTATGCAAGAATTTCACTTGCCTGTTAGTTCATTGAAGCTGAGAAGGTCTAATTATTTGAAATAGGTTTAAAACCTTATGAAAAAAAGGAAATGAAGTCCTGATACATGCTACAGCATGGACATGGATGGACCTTGAAAACATTCTGCTGAGTGAAAGCAGTCACAAATGGACAAATATGGTATGAATCCCATTTATGTGACATATTTAGAATAGGCAAATGCATAGAGGCCGACGTTTATTGGTATTTACCAAGGGTGGGCAGGAGGGAGGGGGAAAGGGGGACTCAGTGCTCAGGGGATGCTGAGCTTCTGTTAAGAGTGAAGATAAAATTTGGGAACAGCTAAAGATGATGGTTGAACAACAGGATGCACATAATTAATGTCGCTGAACTGTACATGTGAAGATTGTTGAAATATCAAATGCTTTGTTACATATCTATTTACCACAATTAAAAAAAAAAACTTATGAAAGGAAGTCGAAAACAGTCATTTGATCACAACAGAGGTGTATGCTAATAATTAAAACCAAGTTATAGCTTTCTTCAATAAATGTGTATTTCCCAATTTTTATCATAACTTTAGGTTTTCTCCCTTAGTTCATGCCAGACATTTTATTTTCTTATTTTTTATTGGTAAGAAATAAAACTAGGGAAGTGAACAACTAGAAAACTGAGAGTAGTGTTACTAACCTAATTGAGAGGTCTGGGCTTATGAGTAAATTATTTCTGTGCATAAATGAAGAATTGTTTATAAAATGTGGCCACCTCAAGTGTTTGGATTGGCTATATCTTTTGGAGTTTCAGGTTGCCTGCTTCTTTGAATGATCTCTTCTCAACCTGTATAAACCAAAAAAAAAACCTAACCCATTGCTGCTAAGTCGATTCTGACTCAATGTATTTAAGAAGATGGAAAAGAAGAGACTTCTCTATTTCCTTTTACCTGCTTGGTAACCACAATTCCATAACAGATGCCTCACCAAAGATGCTCAGTGGAATGTTCAGCCTTACTCCCAAGGAGGTTTGGTTACCGCATTGGAGGGTGGGAATCTGGGACCTTCCATGACAGACATTATCCAGGCATCCTCTGCTTTCTATATTATACTATCATTCTGTTTAAGCACAGGAGGAAACTGGCTGCTCACCTTATTTTATGGTGGTAAATATGTGCAGTGTTTGTGTTGTAACTCCCCCTCTGCCACCACCAACAGCTGTTCAAATGCTCTCAACACTTAACATAACATATGATAAATGTCCTTACTAATGGGCTTTCCTAAGCTTCTGTAACAAATTTGGCAGTGCATGTCAGTGCCCATTCAACCAAGGTCACTGAAATTGGATTAGACATGTGTTAGATGCAACTCAAATCTTAAAAATGTTTCAAAATTAAGCAGCTGGGATGCTCTGATTCATAAACATAACTTTGCAAACATTTTCATCATAAGACCTAGTTAGTCTATGATTCACAAAGTCAATGGTGAATGCAAAGCCAAAGCAGAGTCTGTCTTTCCATATATAACAATAAGTTTGAAGTGCCAATTGCATCGGATTAATCCTCTCAAATCCAAAAAGCTGAATTATGACAGTACTTCTAAAAATAGATTACTTACATACCTTAAAATAACTGAGAAACTAGATCATCTTATTAACACAACCTAGCATATCATGTAAATTTTTTTCTATTGTCATATAGGCTATGCCTTTTTAAAAAAATAATTTGTTGTTGGTGTCGAGAATATACGCAGCAGTACATCACCAATTCAACAATTTCTACGTGTACAAATTCAGTGCCACTGATTACATTCTTCAAGTTGCGGAACTATTTTCACCATCCTTTCAAATTGTTCCTCACCCATTAACATAAACTCACTGCCCTCTTAGTTTTCTGTCTACCCTTTTTAGTTGCTATTGTCAATTTGATTCCATTTAGATAGCTCTTTAAAAGAACTCAATGCTCAAATAGGCCAGGCGTTTTTTGTGCAAAAGTTATTTTGCAAAAACTTTTCTTCTGTACAATGACTAATGAGAGAACGAAAATTTTAAAGAGTCAGTCATGATCCAAAAAATACAGGAAAAAGTTCACGAAGAAAAGAAAAAAGGAAGACAAATTTCAAAAAAAGAAGAAGAAGAAGCAGAGGAAACTGCCGGGTCCTGTGTCATCGTCACAATTGTTGTTATGCTTGAGCCCACTGTTGCAATCACTGTGTCAATCCATCTCATTGAGGGTCTTCCTCTTTTTCACTGACCCTCTGCTTTACTAAGCATGATGTCCTTCTCCAGGGACTGGTCCCTCCTGATAACATGTCCAAAGTATGTGAGACAAAGTCTCCCCATCTTTTCTACTAAGGAGCATTCTGGGTGTACTTCTTCCCAGACAGATTTGTTTGTTCTTTTACCAGTCTATGGTGTAGTCAGAACTCTTCACCAACACCACAATTCAAACGCGTCAATTGTTCTTCGGTCTTCCTTATTCATTGTCCAGATTTTGCATGCATATGAGGTGATTGGGTCAGGCACACCTTAGTCTTCAAGGTGACATCTTTGCTTTCCAACACTTTAAAAAGATTTGCCCAGTGCAATGTGTCTTTTGATTTCTTGACTGCTGCTTCCATGTGTGTTGATTGTGGATCCAAGTAAAATGAAATCTTTGACAACTTCAACGTTTTCTCTTTTTATCTTGATGTTGCTTATTGGTTCAGTTGTGAAGATTTTTGTTTTCTTTATGTTGAGGTGTAATCCATACTGAAGGCTGTAGTCTTTGATCTTCATCAGTAAGTGCTTCAAGTCCTCTCTACTTTCAG